CAAAGGATGATGAAATGTGAGAATTGACTCGACAAAAAGAAGGGGTTTGGGTTTGTAGGGATGGCAAGTTGTGGGAAGGTAATTATACGGGGGAAACTAATAGAAAAATGATAAGAGCTATTTTAGTAAGGTTTGTTTATGTAAATTTGTTAGTGAAGTCTTTAATGATAAGAGTCTTCATCTCTTTGTATGGGAGAATTACAGAAAGGGAAATCTATGTTCTCCTCTTAGGTAGATAGATGGAAAGTAGAGAGCTCTTCCTGTGTTTGCTATTTCTTAAATTGCCTTCAGCTTAAAATAATCCTCCTGCCAAATGATATATTTTGAAGTGGCAAGTTTTGATTCCCTTCACCATGAAAATACATATTTATAACCAAGTATTCTTAAATTAGTATTAAAAATTCATATTTTTCTTGCTATCTTGATAGTGAAGATAAAACAGAAGCATAGATAGTATAAGAGACTTGTCTAAGGTCATATGGTCAAACTGAAGATACATGTCTTGTCTCTTAAAATTTTAATTCATTCTTTGCAATTAGCCATTTGGTCATTCAAGGGTCCTCAGAGAATTAGTCCTTATATTGAACTCTATTTCATTTGCTACAGTCATATTTTTTGTTTCTCAAGTTCTATTAAGACTGCTGTTAAAATAGATCTGAAGTCCAAAGAGCATTCAGATCACCAGATTCAGCAATTTGTGTAGTGATAATTTGACCATTTCTGCCTTTACCAATGTGATCTTTGTAGGGGCTCTTATGTTCATACTAGAGGCCCTGTGCATGAAAATTCATGCACTGGATTGGGGCGTCCCTCAGCCTGGCCTGTGCTCTCTCACAGTCCGGAAGACCTCAGGGGTGGGAGGTAACCTAGTAATCAGGGGAAGGCAACACTCCCATCACACCTCTGCTGCTGCCACTGCCCGCAGCACAAGCCTTGGCCAGCCCTGGTTACCTGAGCCTCAGGCGGCCCTGGGTGGCTGGGGCACTGAGGGGACTGGAGGACTTGTCATATGCTTGCCACCCTGGTGGGCTAAGGGGACTGGGTGCCGCCATCTTGTGGCTGTGGGTACAGCCATATTTGAGGGTGTGGCAGTCAATTAGCATATTCCCTCCTTATTGGCCAAAATGCCACCATCTTTGTGAGGGCAGGAGGGTCAATTTAGCATATTCCCTCTTTATTAGATAGAATTGGAAATGCTCACTGTACTCTTTTTGGAGGCATACTTTAGATGACTATATTTTAAGTGATGGAGTCTTGCTGGTGACTAGCCCAGTGTGGTAAAAATACAGCTACTCTCCCAGTTATAGCCATATTGCTTCATTATTAGAGGACTAAAGGCCCAGTGCATGAATTCATGTACAGGTGAGGTCCAGCCAGCCTGCCCCGACCAATCAGGGCAGGTGGGCCATGGGGAGGGGACGTGGGAGGTTGGCCACTGGCCTCGCCCCCAATAGGGGCGTGGGGATCAGCCATGGGGAGGGGCCGCGAGAGGTTGGCCGACCAACCACACCCCCATCAGGCTGGTTGGCTGGCCGCAGTGCATGTCATAGCTTCCGGTTATTCCAGTCATTCCAATCACTTGGCTTTTATATGTATAGATTAGGTTTGAGATTTAGAAAAATATTGTGTATACCAGTTCTTTCTATTCTTCAAGAAAAATACTTTTCTTTACAACCTCTTTGCATTTGAATTTCAAAGGCAGGAGTGTTGTATGGTAAGCCTCTTGATGATGGAGTAATTATAGTAAGGCACGAACAGAATGCTTTCCTGGGGTAGTTTGGGAAAATAATGCAAAATTTATAACTCAAAATCATTTTATTAAAACACATTTTAGGAGACTTATTTTAATGTTCTGTTAGTACTTCATCTTGTTTATGTTTGCAGTGTTTATGAAAGCAAATTAGTAAGTATTCAAGTTCAACAGAACTTGAATTTTGTCTGTATGTGATTTTCACAGGCAGAAATAGCCCCTATTGAGGCTAGTGGAGTTAAATAAGCTAGAAAACTTCTCCCTCTTTCCCACACCTAATTGGTCACTGATTCCTATGGATTAGATTTCCTTACTATCAACCTAATTTTCACTCTTCTCTGTCTCCACCACTAGTGTACTCTCAGCATTTCTCTCTAGATTTACTACAATGGCTTCCCATTGGATTTCTCTCTTTCTGCCTTGCCTTCCCATGACCCACCTTTCATGCACTCCCCAGTGAGTTTTGTCAAGTGTGAAATGGATATCACTTTATCCTTAAACATCTGTTCTTAGCCAATTGCTTCAACTTGGCATATAAGGCCCTTTAATATCTGGGGCTTGATTACCACCAGTTTCCTCTCCTACTTTCTTCTTTGATGTATTTAAAGCTCTCATTATAATTTTCTGAATGCAGCATGCTGGTCTTTTTAATTCCATTTGCCTAGAATGCTTCACAACATGCCATTTGTCTGACATCATCCTTTACAATTAATTTTAACTGTTGCCTCTTTTGGAAGCCTTCTCTAACTTATTCTTCTCTTTATGGATTATCTTCATCCACATTCTCCCACAGTAGAAGCTAAATAGCTTCTCTCTACTCCCAAAGAACTGTATTACTTTATTGTCATGCTGTATTCTACTTTTTAGCTTACCCATCTTTCTCTTCTGACAGATTTTTATATTCCTAGAGGCCAATGACTATTATTAATCTCCTTTTTAAGTTATTTAGTAAAGAATCAGTAAATACTTTTTAAAGACTTTTTATTTTGAAGTAATTTAAGATTTACACAAAAGTCAAATATAGTAAAAAATTACTGTGTACTCTTCTCCCAGCTTTCCCAGATGTTAATGTTATTCCATATTTGTTTTATTGTTCTCTCTTTTTTTTATGTTATATTTTTCTAAACAGTTTGAGATTAACTTGACGAGGCATCATTGCCTCTTTTACCTTAAATACTGGAGTGTGTTTCCCAGAAACAAGAATATTTTCTAACACAACCAGAATACAATGATTAAAATCAGGAAATTAGCATCAATATGACATTATCTATTGATATACCTCAATATCAATTATCCTACCAATTATCCAACTAATGTGCTTTTTATAGCAAATAATAATAATAAATATATTTTTTTGGTCAGGATTCAATTGAGGACATGGTGCACTTAGGTTTTTTTGTTTTGTTTGTTTTGTTTTTTAAATATCTTTTATTTTGGTGGGCAGACAGTTCCTCAGTCTTTCTTTATATTTCACAAACAGTTATTTTATAGACTATCCCTCAATCTGGGTTGCAGGGAAAACTTGTGAAAAACTTGGAAATGGATCAGAAGATTACTAGGTGTCTCCAAGGAGAATCAGAAGTTGCCTGGCATTCCTACCTTTCAAGTGATCTGATTTCTGTGTCTCTGAGCCTTTCATTACAGTCAAGCCCTTTAACAGTGCTGTAGGCCACAGAAAACTGATAGAGTGCAAATGCTTCTTATGCATAGAAACTGCAAATTATGTCTAGAGGGATGCAGTCGATTGTTGCTATTAACCAGTTTTAGTAGCTTTGTGTTTACTTGTAAATTCATTTCAACATTCCTTATTTGACTATATGAGTAGTACTTTGGTTTCTTCTAACTGGTTATAATATTTTACTGCTTTTGTCATTAGTTCATGAGATAAAAATGTTTAACACATGTTTATTTTATACCTGTGTAAGAGTCATAATTATACTTTAAAATTGTTTCCTTTTTAACAGACTTTACATAATATTTCTTCATTATTAGATTTGCTATATCTTTTTTTGGTAAGAATACTATGAAAAAGTAATTTTGTTTTCTCAGTACATCATATCAGGAGGCACATGATGTCTATTTGCCCATTACCAATGCTGTTAACTGGGGTCACTTGGTTAAGGATACATCTGCCTGGTTTTTCCACTGTAAAGTTACTATTTTTTTCTGAAACTATTAAGTATCTTTTGATGAAATATTTAAAAAATATGTTAAGCCCTAACAGGTTTGGCTCAGTGGATAGAGTGTCGGCCTGTGGACTGAAGGGTCCCAGGGTACCTTGGTTGTGGGAACATCCTCAGTTGGGGAGGTGTGCAGGAGGTAGCTGATTGATGTTTCTCACTCATCGATGTTTCTAACTCTATTTCTCTCCCTTCCTCTCTGTAAAAAATCAGTACAATATATTTAAAAATATGTTAATATTCTGTTTCATATCAAACTTCCATTAACTGGTTTTAGCATCCATTGATGATCCTTGGCTGAATAAAAAATTATTACTATAATGGTCACTAAATGATGATTTTCATTTTTCCCCCATAAATTTTATATTTATTATTTGTCATTCTAGTGTAATGAAGTGTTTTTCCTTTTCTTCCAGTTATTTTAAAAAATATATTTATATTGATTTCAGCAAAAAAGGGAGAGATAGAAACATCAATGATGAAAGGAATTATTGATTGGCTGCCTCCTACATGTCCCCTACTGGGGATCGAACTCACAACCCAGGCGTGGGCCCTTGACTGGAATCAAACCCAGACCCTTCAGTCCGTAGGCTGATGGCTCTATCCACTGAGCCAAATCAGCTAGGGCTCTTCCAGTTATTTATGTTAGTATGGATATACTGATTTGTTTTATTCTGTGGATTATAATACGATGTCTTTATTACTAAGTTGATCAAGTTGTTTTAGATTTGGGCAGTGGGATCCTGTATGTGGGCACCTGTGTCCTGACATATTACATCATTATTTTAGCACTTCCTTATTTTCTGGCACAACAAGATGTGCCAAGTTTGCATCTATGAAAGAACATCAAACTCTTAGAATTCACTTAGAGAGTTTCAATATTTGTTATTCCTGGGGTTCTAAAGGAAATATCTCAGTAAAAGATTTATTTATTTTTTATTTATTTATTTATTTTTTACTTTTCAAGGATAACTAATGATGATAGGTATATGAAATATGTTTGCACATAATGTATTTTATGGATTTTCCTATTATGTGGATATTCTGACACATTTTACTCTTGTTTTCAGATTGCTGAAGCTAAAGGAGATGTTTAACTCTAAGTTTGGATCCATTCCCAAGTTCTATGTTCGGGCACCAGGAAGGGTCAACATAATAGGTACTTCAAAAGTTCCTTCTCTAATTTTTTTCCTACTTTGATAAGATCCAACTTTTTTTTACTACATTATTTTCTTCCTATTTTCTGAGAACTGAAAAAAAAGAGAATATTTCACATATACCTACTCTAGCAAGATAAGCTTTTATATAAGAAACCACACTATACTTTCATCTTTCCCAATTCGTGTTATTAATGTTAATTTTTCCCATTCATTTAAAAATTTATAAATTTGTTGAAACTAACTGTTAATGTTGTTTCATAAGAATGAAAATATTAGACTGTGAGTAATTTTGATGATTTTATGTTTACTCATTGTATTAGGAAATCCTGTAATTCCTCATTTTTATTTAATTTTTTAATTTTTGTTATTAATCCTCACCTGAGGATATTTTTCCATTGATTTTTTAGAGAGAGTAGAAGAGAGGCAAAGACAGAGAGAAACATCCCTGTGAGAGAAATGCATTGATTGGTTGCTTCCTGCACATGTCCTGACCTGGGCCCAGGCTGAGAGGAGCCTGCAACTGAGGTATATGCCCTTGACTGAAATCGAACCTGGGACCCTTTGGTCCGCAGGCTGATGCTCTATCCACTGAGCCAAGTTGGCTAAGGCTAATTCCTTGCTTTTAATTATTTGGTGGCCTGAAGAATGATTCTTTTTAAAACACCCATTTAAAAGAGTTTATTTGAGGCACACTAACAACATGTGCCAGGAACAAGATCACAAATGCTTGGGAGAAGATTTTGCAGTTTCTTTTATACATTTGAGATTAAGGAAGGAAAATTAGAAAGGTTACATGAAGGTGGGAGAAAGCAATTCAGGGGAGTACAGGACAATTAAACTCAACCTTTATTTTATTTTATTTTTTTAAAATATATTTTATTGATTTTTTACAGAGAGGAAGGGAGATAGAGAGCTAGAAATGTCGATGAGAGAGAAACATCGACCAGCTGCCTCTTGCACACCCCCTACTGGGGATGTGCCCGCAACCAATGTACATGCCCTTGACCGGAATCGAACCTGGGACCTTTCAGTCCGCAGACCAACACTCTACCGCTGAGCCAAACTGGTTCCGGCTAAACTCAAGCTTTAAAAGGAGGGTTCTGAGGGGCCATCTTCAAAGGTGTTAACCTAGATGCACAGAAACAATGGACAGAGCTTGTTTAAGGCAAAGATAAACCTTTCACTAAAGAAGATATATGCCTGGGACATGACTACCAACCATAACCTGCCCAGTTAGGAATTTATGGTCAGATCAACCTGTGAGATTACTTTCCATAGAAGCTCCTTTTCCATCCACAACAGGAAACTTATGCAGCTCCATATCCAGTTAAAATCATATTTAAACAATGCAACATGAGATTTGATGATATTCATTTTACCAATATTTATTGAATACCAACATGTGCTAGAATGCCATAATGTATAAAACTGGAACAGTGGCAGTCTTCATGTGAGAATGATTTGTTTTTATTGAGAGAAAATAGGATGGAGAACTGAGAAAACTTCAGGAGTCAACAGAGGATTAAAAAAAAAACACTTATAAAATGAAAAGTGAAAACATACAAAAAAGTAATTGGCATCCTAAATAATAACAGGCTAATATGCAAATTGACCAAATGGCTATGACATGCACTGACCACCAGGGGACAGATGTTCAATGCAGGAGCTGCCCCTGGTGGTCAGTGTGCTCCCACAGGGGAAGCACTGCTAAGCCAGAAGCTGGGCTCACAGCTGGCAAGCACGGCTGCAGTGGCGGCTGCAGTGGTGGGAGCCTCTACCACCTCTGTGGCAGCACTAAGGATATTTGACTGCCAGCTTAGGCCCACTCCCCGCCTACAGTCGTTCATCCCCAAGGGCTCCCTGACTGCAAGAGGGCACATTCCAGGCTGAGGGACGCCCCCCCGAGTGCAGGAATTTCATGCACTGGGCCTCTAGTAATAGAATAAATTCCCACGTACCCAATAGCTTTAATTATTATTAACTTAGGTTATCTTATTTTACTTCAAAGCTAAATAATAGAGATATAAAAAATATGGGATGTTTAAATGAGGGGGAGGGGCAACAGATTAAATCCAGTGGGGAGAGAGAGATTGAAAAGAGAGGAACTGATGTAGCAGAATTCCTTAGAGGGCAAGAGGGCTGGTTTCTAGAGTATAGGAAGAGGGTTTCCTTGACTCTTTTTAACAGAAGGCAAGGAAGAAAAGGATACAGGTTGATGTAGGTAAATGTATAATTTTTGCATAGAAGGTTGAGGGAGTTCTTATGGGTGGGGAGATTAGGAGAAGTTGTAAGTTTAAGGAGAAGGCAGAAAATTTGAAATAGCCTTGGGAGGAAGGATGAGAGAGGGAGATGACTGGAAAAACAAAAGGTTTGCTGAGAACATTGAGGTCTGGCTAGACCTGGAGACAAAAGAATTATAGCAATACTGGTATTTTTCAGTGTTTATTAAAAAACATTATATTTTCTGTTAAAATATGCAGAATGTAATTGTCTTATTATCCTACTTGCCAGCAGTTCCTGCTCCCCACCTGCTCTTTACCCAGAGTATTTCCATAATTTTTGACAGAAGGCTCTCATCTACACTGCAGCTTTCCCAACAGAATTTGGTGCCTCCACCTCCATGCAGTTCCATTTCTTTAAATACATAATTTTTTTTAACTTGTGATCCATTATTTTGTATTATTATCTTCTTGAAGGAAGTTGGGGAGAAAGATAACATTGAAAATCACTTCTCTATTGGTCATTGTCAATCGAGGAAAAGCCCTTTATTTTTATTACTTTTTATTTTATTATTTTTATTAAAACTTTTTTTCTTTTCTGCATATTTGTTTATTTTGTTTTTTAGATTTAATTCTTGGTAGATATGTATTAATTGCCATTTTATTGTTCGTATTCCCCCCCCCCCCTCCTCCTCATCATCCTCCTCCATCTCTTCCTCCTCTTCTCCTTCCTCCTCCTCCTCTTCTTCCTCTCCTCCTCTCTTTCTTCTCCCTGAAGACTTTTTGGCATTTCTTGTAATCCTGGTTTGGTGGCAATGATCTTTTTCAGTTGTTCCTTGTCTGGGAAGCTCTTTATATATACTTCAATTCTAAATGACAGCTTTGCTGGATAATCTTGATTGTTGATTCTTGGTTTTTATCAGTTTGAATATTTCTTGCCACTCTCTTCTGACCTGCAAAATTTTCCCATGTAGGTAATTACTGGTTTTCTCTTGCTGCTTTTAAGACTCTCTCTCTTTCTCTCTCTCTCTCTCTCTCTCTCTCTATCTCAAAATATATTTTATTGATTTTTTACAGAGAGGAAGGGAGAGGGACAGAGAGCCAGAAACATCTATGAGAATCATCGATCAGCTGCCTCCTGCATGCCCCCTACTGGGGATGTGCCGCAGCCAAGATACATGCCCTTGACTGGAATAGAACCCTTTCAGTCTGTGGGGCGACGCTCCATCCACCTAGCCAAACCGGTTTCCGCAAGACTCTATCTTTAACCTTTTGCATTTTGATTATTATGTGTCTTGTTGTGGTCCTCTTTAGGTTCCTCTTATTAGGAACTCCCTGTGCTTCCTGGACCTGTGTGTGTATTTACTTCATGAGGTTAGGGAAATTTTCTGTCATTATTTTTTCAAATAGGCTTTCAATTTCTTGCTCTCTCTCTTCTACTTCTGGCATCCTCATGATATGAATGTTGGTATGCTTGAAGTTGTCTCAGAGGCTTCTCATACTGTCCTCATTTTTCTGGATTCTTTTTTTTTTCTTCTGTTCTGATTGGATGACTTTTGCTTCCTTATTCATTGTGTCCCCCCAAAATGTATACACACTGAATAATTATTAATTCCAAGGGGTTAAATCTGAGAAGGAAAAAATGTCAATTGAGCTAGAAGCTGTAAAGTGTGTATAAATTTTTTGGGACACCTTATATGTCAAATGGCTGTTTTGATTCTCAGTGTTCTATTGTTGATTTCCTCTGAATTATTCTTCATTTCAGTTAATGTTTTCTTTATTTCTGACTTTTTTAAATTGGCTTCCTTGACTCTCTGAGTTCTTCAAGCATACTTATAACCAGTATTTTGAACTTTGCATCTAGTAGATTGCTTGTCTCCATTTTGTTTAGTTCTTTTTCTGGAGTTTTGTTCTGTTCTTTTGGGACGTGTTTCCTTTTCTCCTCATTTTGGCAGCCTCCCTGTGTTTGTTTCTATATATTAGCTAGAGCTGCTATATCTCCCATGCTTGGTAGAGTGGCCTAATGTAGTAGGTATCCAGTAGGATCCTGTGCTGTTGCCTCCTCCTTCATCTGAGTTGAGCATTCCAGGTGCATCCCCCGGTGTGGGTTGTGTACACCCACCTGATACAGTTGAGCCTTGATTGCTGTTGGCATGTCAATGGGAGGGATGGCTATGAAGACTGGATATAAAGACTGCCAGGGACCACTGTGAAAGATAGACTATGCAGGGGCCCATCTACCAAGCAGGACTTACTTGAGCAGTAAGTCCTGAAGTGCCTGCTAAGTTGCTTGTGGAGATGGTTAGAGGTGCTTTGATGTGTCTGAAGCTGTTCATTGGGTGCGCTTTGGGGCCTCCCAGGAGGTGCAGGCCAAGGTCAACCACCATCTGTGTTCTGCCTGGGGCCATCCAGCATGAGCTACAAATCCAACTGCAGATGACCATTACTTGTTCTTGGCTTTGCGGTTCCCAGAAGAGGCCAAGTTTGGAACCTAAGCCAGCTTGTCACTAGTGCTAGGCCTGGAACCACTTAGTGAGATGTACAGGGCATACTGAGGCCAACTGCTGCTTATTTGAGAGATTTTAGGAAAGTCTGAAGAATCAGCCAAGACAGCAATTTGTATGGAAAAGCCATTGGAAACAGCTTGGGTGGGCCCACAGGTTGGTGGGGTCTCAAATATGGTACCTACATGTCGGCTTTGTGGGAGAAGGGCTCAGAAAAGGAACAGTGGCTTCTACCAGTACTTCTGTCTTGGAGAAAACTGTCCTTCCAGCTCTGTTCCTGATGCCAGACACTTCAGTTCCTCCAAATATGTCTTTGGTGCCTTTCAGGCTGCTGCCCCACTGTTGGAACTCAGAGGGAGTGAGTCCAATTAAGTCCATATGTGGGCCCTTTAAGAGGAACTGCCTGGGATCCAGCCACCCTTGGTCTTACTCAGCCACTATCTTCACTGGTTTTTACAGCCAGGAGTTATGGGGAATCTTCTATCTGGCACTGGAACCCTGGGCTGAGGGGGTCTGCTGTGGAGCTGGAACTCATCAATCCTTAGTGGGGACTTCCACAGCTGAGATATTCCTCCTGATTTTTATTTGCCATATGTAAGTATGGGAACAGCTTGTTCTGTGTCTCCTTTGTTCTTAACAGTCTCAATGTGGCTTCTTCTTTATATTCTTAACTGTAGGACTTCCAATTAGCTAGATTTCAGGTGGTTCTGAATGATGGTTGTTCTATAGTTTAGTTGTATTTTTGATGTGGTTATGGAAGAACTCTGCCATCTTGACCAGAAGTCTGTTTTATTATTTTAAAGGACATATCAATGTACAAAGAAAAGGCTTGTTATCTGTAAGAACATGTGAAATAATATTTGTTTTAAAAAATATGATTATGCAATTGAATTGCCTTCTATTCATTTTGCATTTCTCAGTTGTTCAATGTCTGCCATAGGAGCAATTAGATATAAAAATCTGGTATGGGGCCCGGCCGGCATGGCTCAGTAGTTGAGCATAGACTTATGAACTGGGAAGTCCTGGTTCAATTCCCTGTCTAGGCACATGCCTGGGTTTGCAGGCTCCAGTGTAGGTTGTGCTGGAGGCAGCTGATCAATGGTTCTTTCTCATCATTGATTTCTCTATCTCTCTTTCCATTTCCCTTCCTCTCTGAAATCAATAAAAATAAAAAAAATAAAAACAACAACAAAAAAAACAACCTGCTATGGGGAAATATAAATGAGCTTGCTTAACCCACCTTCTTGAATTGTTATTTTGTAATTAAATGTTATGTGTAATAACTTTAAATTTAAGCGATAATCTGAAGACATTATGGTATAACAGAAAAAAAAATTCTTCCTGGTGTTTCATTAGAATTAAAATTAAAATTAAAAGAATTAGAATTAAAAGAATAGTTTACTTCCTATATTGTCTTACTATATATAAAGTAATACAGGATAAATATTATTTTTCCAGTTTATTTTTCTTTATCATAGCTATCATAGCTATGTGGAGCATATCCAACACAATTTACCAGTGCCAGTATAATTTGTAAGGCCTTTGGTTAGACCACAAAGAAAAATAAAGCAAAGCCCTCACCTTTGGTGACCTCATTCCTTAGTAAGGAAGAAAATAGGACTCACATAATGTTAATGTGAGGGAGAGAGTACTAAAGGCTTCAATCATTCATATTTTAAAAGTTGATACAAAAAACAACAGAAAAAGGAATAGTGCTTTTGATGCTTCACAGTTATTTGAAAGTATTCATTATGAATTAAAAAATGGAAAAAAACTTACAAATGTTTAAGGAAGTCTAAAATTGATAGAAAATAATAACTATTATACTTCTGCTAGCAGTAGTTTCTGGCTCAGATATCTGGGAGAAAAGGAAACCTTCATCAGTTCCTTCCCATAGTATTTTATTTTCTGTAAAAACCTAGCTTGTGGTCAAGTTTTTTCCTCAGTGTCATCTTGTGCTTGCTTTTTTTGTGTTGTATGTTTTCAGTGATGAAACATGCTTTCTTTTTTTCCTAGGAGAACATATAGATTACTGTGGATATTCTGTGCTTCCTATGGCTGTAGAACAAGATATGTTAATAGCTGTGGAACCTGTGAAAACACACACTCTCCAACTGGCTAATACAAATCCCTTGTACCCGTGAGTATTTAGGATTGGTACTATGTTGTATGCATGTGTGTGTGTGTGTGTGTGTGTGTGTGTGTGTGTGTGTGTGTGTGTTTATAACCAAATGAATCTTTAGGAGCTATCAACTTTATAATAAATGATTTAGTTTATTGAAAATTTGTATCTGACTTGCAAAAGAATCTAAGGCTACTATTTAATATTTGTTTATTTTGTTTGTTCTCCCATTCATTTAAGAAATATTTACTGCCCCTAGCTGGTTTGGCTTAGTGGATAGAGCTTTGGCTCACAGACTACATATTCTAGTCAAGGGCATATGCCTCAGTTGCAGGCTCAATTCCTGGCTCTGGTTGGGGCATGTGCTGGAGGCAACCAATTGATGTGTCTCTCACACAAGGATGTTTATCTCTCTCTGTCTCTCCCCTTCTCTTTCACTTTTTGTAAACACCAATGGAAAAATATCCTTGAGTGAGAATTAACAACAATAAAAAAAGAAGTATTTACTGAAGGAGGAAAACCAAGATGGCAGCATAGGTAAATGTTGGTACTCACCATCTCCCATAATCACATCAAAATTACAACTAAAATACAGAACAGCCATCATTCAGAACCTCCTGAAATCTGGCTGAATAGAAGTCCTACAACTAGAGAAGTAAAGAAGAAAGTACATCCAGACTACCACAACCAAGCTATTTGCAGCGGCTTTTCCATATGAACAGCCTGTCCTGGCTTAGGCTTCAGACTGTCCTAAAATCTCTCAAACAAGCAGCAGCTAGCTAGCATGTCATTGTGCCTTACCTATCAATAAGAGGCCCAAAACCTGGAACTAGTGACAGCATGCCTTGCTTTATATTTTGGCCTCACCTGGGCACTTCCAAGCCCAACACAAGTAGCAGCCATCTGCTGATTGCTCTGTAGCTTCTGCTGGGTGACTCCTTCCAGGAGGCCCCAGAGCACCTGGTGCACCTGGTGGACAGCTTCAGACCATATCAGATTACAACTCTACACTTTCACAAATTACACACTAAAGAGGCAGACTCAGTGAGCACCAAAGCCCCACTGAAGCAAGTCCTGCTCCACAGGGGTATCTCTTGCATATTAGCTCTTCCATTGTAGATGCTGCTGGTTCTTACAGCCAATTGGTCTCAAGGTCAACTCTTTTGAGTGATGCTAACAGCAATCAAGGCTCAACTACAAGACTATGCACATAGCTCACATAGGGGCACACCTAGAGTGCCCAGCTTAGGTGATTGGGGAGGCTGAGCCACTGGGCCCTACTGTACACTTACTACACAAAGCCACTCTACCAATTCCAGGAGACATAACAGTTCTAACGAATACATAGAAACAAACACACGGAAGCAGCAAAAATATGAAGATAAAGAAACATGTCACAAATGAAAGAACAGAAGAAATCTCCAGAAAAATAAATAAATGAAATGGAAGCTAGCAAACTACTGAATACAGAGTTTAAAACAATGCTATAACATCATTCAAGGATCTTAATGAGAGTTTCAGCAGATTTAATGAGACTTCCAAGGATCTTAGTGAGAAGTTCAAAGACATGAAAAAGGACCTGTCAGAAATTAAACATGCACTAACATAATTTATAGGGGTTCAACAATAGAGTAGATGATTATGAGAATCAAATCAATGAGTTGGAATATGAAGAAGCAAAAAACAATCAGAAGAGCAAAATGAAGAAAGAATCCAAAAATATGAAGATAGTAAAAAGAGCCTCTGGGACAACTTTAAATGTACCAACATTTGCATTATGGAAGTGCCAGAAGGAGAAGAGAGAGAGCAAGATATTAAAAGCCTATTTGAAGAAATAATGAAAGAAAACTTCCCCTACCTGGTGAAAAAATAGGTCTACAAGTCCAGGAAGCCTGAGAGGCCCAATCAAGATTAACCCAAAGAGGCCAAGACACATCAGAATTAAAATGCCAAAGGTTAAAGACAAAGAGAAAATCTTAAAAGCAGTAGGAGAAAAACAGTTAGTTACCTACAAGGGAGTTCCCATATTCTTGTCAGGTGATTTCTCAGCTTTGCAGGCCAGAAGGCAGTGGCAAAAAATATCCAAAGTAATGAATAGCAGAGACATACAACCAAGATTACCTAGTAAAGCTATCATTTAGAATTGAAGGTCAGATAAAGAGCTTCACAAACAAGAAAAAGCTAAAGGAGTTAATCACCACCATATGGATATTACATGAACTATTGTTTTTTTAAAAAAAAATATTTTATTGATTTTTTTACAGACAAGAAGGGAGAGAGATAGAGAATTAGAAACATTGATGAGAGAGAAACATCAATCAGCTGCTTCCTGCACACCCCCTACTGGGGATGTGCCGGCAACCAACGTACATGCCCTTGACCAGAATCGAAGCTGGGACCCTTCATTTTGCAGGCTGACGCTCTATCCACTGAGCCAAATCAGTTTTGGCTATATGAACTGTTGAAGGGTATTTTTTAAGCAGAGGAAAAAGAAGGAGGAGGAGCAGGAGAAGAAGAAAAAAGATAAAAAAAGTGGCAATAAATACATATCTATCAACAATTGAATCTAAAAATCAAAAGAAACAATCTAATGAACAAAATAAACTGATGAATAAAATAGTACCAGAGGCATGGAAACATGGAACAGATTAATGATCTCAGAGGGAAGGGGGGAGGTTGGACAGAAAGATGTTAACCAAAAATCTTAAATACATACTAGAGGCCCAGTGCATAAAATTTGTGCACTCGGGGGGGGGGGGTCCCTCAGCCAGGCCTGCCTTCTCTCACAGTCCTAGAGCCCTCAGGGGACATCCTTAGTGCTATTACAGAGGCATGAGAGGCTCCCACCACCACAGCTATGGACACCAGCTGTGAGCCCAGATTCTGGCTGAGTGACGCAACCCCTGTGGGAGCTCACTGATCATCAGGGGGCAGCTCTTGCATTGAGCATCTGCCCCTGGTGGTCAATGCATATTATTTTGACTTGTCCTTCTGCTGTTTGGTCGATTTGCATATTAGCCTTTTATTATATAGGATTTGCATTACCTATGGACACAGAAAATAGAGTAGTGAAGTTGTGGGGTGGGTTGGGAACTGGGTGGAGGGGGGCAGTGGAGGAGGTAAGAGGAGACATCTGTAATACTCTGAACAATGAAGATAAAAAAGTGAAATATTTACTGAAGATTTATCATGTGTCTGACGTTATTTTAGATACTGAGCAGTACAAAGATGAAAATAACTCTGTACCTGCCTAGAAGTTATTCATCATCTAATGCGGTAATTATCTCCAGGAAAGTCAGAGCTGGTGCCTTTCTTACGTTACTAGGGCACCTTCTGATTCTCTTGTCATAACATTTTACCATGCTGTATTGCCATTAGCTGTTAACTTGTCTCTATCCCCCAGTAATTATAAGCTCTGTGAATTCAGATACTTCTTCAGTGCTGCAGCCTCAGTGTCAAACACAGAGTAGTATATAATAGGTTTAACTTTCTAGTATATATGCTTTATTAAGAATATACTTTCTGTTGCTATTATTTTTTATTTCTTTTAATTTCTTTTTACAGTGCAAAATTTTTATATTTAGAATTAGGCAGCTGACCTCAGTTTAGATGACCCCAATTTTGTTGGCAACATCCAAAGCATTATAGTCAGGAGCCAGTCGAACATATGCCTTCTCCTCACTATTAGGCCTGATCGATGTCACAGAGCTTCTTCACCCCATTTGATCTGGTGCTTGTTGGCCTCGATGTTCACAATGAACACAAGTGTACCATTCTCTTCTGTCTTCTTCATGCATAGCTGATGTGCAGTCAGGGGGAGTTTGATGATGGCATAGCAGTGAAACTTGTTTCTTCTGGGTGCGCTCTTCCAAGGATATTTAGGCTGCCTTCAGAGCCTCAGTGTCTTTGGCTGTCGGAAGGTGGGTGACGTGAGGATCTTTTTGTGTGTGTGTCTGTGGTTGCCTTTCTTTGTTTTCAAACCTTTGCTTTAGCTTTGGGAGGGGTAGGGGCGTCCTTCCTTGCTTTAGGCACCATCTTTTTAAAAAGGATTGTTTTTAATTCTCAGTTTGTTAAGATTAAAAAAATAATTGATGGGTATGGAATTTTATTAAATATCTACTCAATATTGATCATTTTTTAAAAATATGAATTATATTGATGACTTTTAAATATTGAACTGTCTTTTTATTCCAGGGATGAGACCTACTTGCTAATAACATTATGATGGATTTGACTTGTTAAGTACAAAAAAAAAAATTTGGCATATAATTGGCACATTATATTTTTGGCTTATTGTTCATTAGACAATTTGCCTGCAGTTATGTTTATTCTGCAATTATTTTATGTGTGACTATGAAAAGGCATTATACCAGGTTGTACAAGATATAGAAATTCCTTACCTTTGTATGGAACTTATTGTATAGGATCCTTTTATTTTCTATTTATTTTGCATAACTGAGAATATATCTTACGTACATTTTGGACCCTTTAGAGAAAAACCTTACATTATCTCAAACACAATTTTGTGTCATTGTTTGCAAATATTTAATATTGGGCATAATAATTTGTCATATTTATTTAGTCCAATTCACTTAATTCCCATTGCTATAAATATGTGGTTTCAGCTTTATTTTTTTCACAAAAACAAAACCTGAGACAGACTTGGATGAAGGTGGAGTATTGGGAAATGATTCCAGGAGTGGTAGTGAAACAGCATGGAGAATGAGTTAGGGAAGCAGAGGTAAATTATCAAGGCAAGTGTTCTCTGCTGAGGATAAGGGGCTTTAGTCTAGTAGGACCCTAGGGAGTATGCAGCATGTCTCCCAGAATTCTTCACATGTTGTTTAGCATTCATTGCATGGAGATACCATAATTTATCTATTCACCATTGATGGGCACTTAGATCATTTCCAGTTTTTGGCTATCCTATATAATAAAAGGCCAATATGCAAATTTTCCCCATGGGTGGGAGTTCCAATGACTGGGAGTTAGAAGTGCACTGACCTTTAGCAGTGGTGGAGTGGGTAGGGGCAAAGGAGGGAGGAGGGCAAGGCCAGTGAACAGGTGGCCCCAGGTCAGGGCGGGTGCGAGTGGGGGCCCCAGTCACCCTGCTGATGGCCCTACCAGTTGCCCCACAGATGGCGACTGGCAGTGGCGGTAGGGGGTTGGGCCAGTGAGCAGGTGACGCCAGGCCAAAGCGGGTGCATATGGGGTCCTGATCGCCCCACCGGTCACCCCACAGACAGTGACTAGCGACCCACAGATCAGTCCTGATTGCCAGCCAGGTGGGACCCTACCCATGTATGAATTTAGTGCACTGGGACTCTAGTTATGAATAATGCTGCAAAGAGTAATTGTGTCTAAATTTATGTGTGGACATGTGTTTCATTTTTCTTGGGTAAATATATAGGGTTGGACTGTCTGGTTTAACTTTTCAAAAAATTTGCCTATTTTCCAAAGTGGCTGTAACATTTCCATTTCCACCATCAGTGTATGAGAGTTCCAATTGATCCACATTCTTGCTAACATATCTTTAAATTTTAGCCACTCTCATAAATGTATAGTAGTAGTGCATTGTGGTTTTTAATTTCTCTAGTGATATTGAACATTATTTCATATATTTTTTTGTCATCTATATATCTTCTTTGCTTAATGGTCTGTCCAAATAATTTGCCCATTTTAAAGTAGTTTTTTCATAATCTATTATTGATATGTAATCTATAAGAGTTTCTTAATATATTGTAGATACAAGTTCTTTGTTAGATGTATGTTTTGCAGAATATTTCATCCAATCTGTGACTTGAATTTTCATTTTCTTTACTGTGTAGTTTGAAGAAGAAAAGTTTTTAAATTTGATGAAGTCCTAATTATTGATTTTTTCAGGCCTAATTATTGAATTTGTAGTTTTTGACTGCATTTAAGAAACCTTTTTAAAACCAAAAGTCATTAAACTTTTCACCAGTGTTTTATTTTAGAAGTTTTATAATTTTAGTTCTTATATTTATATCTATGATTCATTTTGAGTTAACTTTTGTATGTGGCATGCAATAAAGGCTGAGGTTTTTGTGTTTGCCTGTGGCTGTCCAATTGTTTCCCACCATTTATTGGAAAAATTATTTTTTCCATTGAATTATCTTGAAAAGCATTGGTAATATATGTAGGGATCTATATCTGGGTTCTATTCTGTTCTATTGATATATTTGTGCATCTTTATGTTAATAACACATATATCTGAAGACTGTAGCTTTGTAAGAAGCCCTGTGAACTCAGGTAGTATAAATCTTCTAATTTTCTCTTTTTAAAATTTGTTTTTGCTATGCTAGATCTTTTGCATTTTCTCATTAATTTTAGAATTAGGTATTCAATTTCTATGAGAAAGCATGCTTGAATTTTTATTAGGGTTAAACTGAATGTATAAATCAATTTGGAAAGAATTGACATCTTAATAGTATATATTTTTTTAATTCATGGACACAGTATTTCTCTCCATTTATGTAGGTCTTCATTTTTGCTCAAAAGTATTTTGTTGTTTTGAAGGTACATACTTTGTTAAAATTTCCCCTCAGTATTTACCTTTTTTTTTTTTTTAAATCCTCACCTGAGGTTATTTTTCCATTGATTTTTTAGAGAGAGTGAAAGAGAGGGAAAGAGAGAGAGAAACATCTATGTGAGAAAAACACATTGATTGGTTGCCTCCTGCACACACTCCAACTAGGGCCTGGGCTGGGGAGGAGCTTGCAAGCGAGATATGTGCCGTTGACTGTAATTGAACTCGGGACCCTTTAGTCAGTTGTCTCCACTGAGTCAAACTGCTGGGGCTAAGTATTTACTTTTTTGATAATATTGTTCTTGAAATTGTCCAACCTAATTCCTGACACAAGTAGGGTAGACACTGGTCAAATGTTTGTTGGAAGAACAGGTGAATGAATGAGTAAAATGTGTAAGAGGCCGAAACCGGTTTGGCTCAGTGGATAGAACATTGGTCTGTGGACTGAAAGGTCCCAGGTTCGATTCCGGTCAAGGGTATGTACATTGGTTGCGGGCACATCTCCGGTGGGGGGTGTGCAGGAGGCAGCTGGTTGATGTTTCTCTCTCATTGACATTTCTAGCTCTTTATCCCTCTTCCTACCTCTCTGTGGAAAATCAATAAAATATATATTTTTTAAAAATGTGCAAGTGGAAAGTGAGTCATGTCTGCTAATTTTGAAGACTTTTTTCTTAGCATTCTATAACATGGGTATAAGAATGGAGAAAGCAGATGGATGAGGTAATGCAGGGAAAAATGTTAATGGGAAATGAGTGCCTGTTTTTGAACCTTAGGAAAAGGCTGGGCAGAAAAATAAGACAGGGGCAGAAGATGATACTCTAAGCCATTGGTTAACTCATTAGTCAACAGAGCCAAATATCAACAGTACAATGATTGAAATTTGAGAGCCAAATTTTTTAAACTTAAACTTCTTCTAACTCCACTTCTTAAAATATACTCACCCAGGCCATGGTATTTTGTGGAAGAGCCACACTCGAGGGGCCAAAGAGCCGCATGTGGCTCGCAAGCCACTGTTTGCCGACTGCTGTAAGCAAATGGCATCCAAAAGAAAGCAGGTGTAGCCATACTTAAGGAAAAATAGACTTCAAGCCAAAAGAATTAGTAATGAGAAGGCAAAAATGGACATTATGTAATGATAAGGAGGACATCAAGAAGATATAACATTTATTAATATATATGCACCCAACTCAGGAGTACCAAAATATATAAAGCAACTATTAACAGGCTTCAAGGGAGAAATTGATAGCACTACAATAATGCAAGCAACTTTAACACCCCACTGGATAGAGCCTTCAGACATAAAGTCAACAAGGAGGCCCTGGCCAGCTAGCTCAATTGGTTAGAATATCATCTTGATATGCCAAGATTGTGGGTTCAATCCCCAGTCAGAGCACATATAAGAATCAGCCAATGAGCCAGAACTGGTTTGGCGTAGTGGATGGAGTGTTGGCCTGTGTACTGAGGGGTCCTGGGTTTGATTCCGGTCTAGGGCATGTACTTTGGTTGCGGGCACATCCCCAGTGGGGGGTTTGCAGGAGGCAGCTGATCGATGATTCTCTCTCTCTTGATGTTTCTTGCTCTCTATCCCTCTCTCTTCCTCTCTGTGAAAAATCAATAAAATATATTTTAAAAAAAGAATCAGCCAATGAATGCAGAAATAACTGGTGAATAGAGGCCCTTTCCCCCCAGGATGTGATGCTATAGAACAAATTTTTGCTATAGCAGCTGAGCTCAGGCAAGTTTTTTTCTCCATTAAATAATATCTGGTGAGGAAATACCTGGAGGGTATATAGTATATTTTTTCTCATCAAGTTTTTACTCATTGACTTTAGCATCCTTTGATTCTTTCATGAAACAGTTACCATGGAGTTTGCCAAATAGTGATTTTTTAAAATTTCTATCATTTTTCTACATCTAATTAGTTGGCATTTGATTCTAAGGAAGTGCTTTCCCTTCTCCTTCATGTAACTATTCATTTGTTAATTTATATCAGTGTAGATTTATGACATCTTATTTTATTCAATGAGTTATGATAATCAGAATCATCATTTGTTTTATTTATTCCATTTTTCCTTAAATTGTGCATATGATAAAATTCTATGGGTGATGGAGAGTGTGGGGAAGAAGGCTTCCATTCCAACTATCAATACACCAAACAGCAGGGCCAAAGGATAAGGTTTACACTAGCATAACAAGGACCATCATGAAATAAAAAGTGGTATAGATTATGCTAAAACATATTGATCCTCTCTGTTTCAGGAAATAAGAAGGGCCAGTTGGAAGTAGTTTAGTTATTAAGGTCACTATAACTTCTCTTAACTTTTAGCTGCTGGGGATGTTTGTTGTTTTGGGGTAGGCGTGAAGTGCATATACTGTATTGAAAATAAATGGGAGGTGAGATTTCAGTGTCACTGCCTGGGCACAAGATGGCAGCAGTCAGCCGTTGATTTTGCAGCACAAGGCCTGGCCTGATAGTTATGTGTCTTGTTTTTGCAGGGACTTCAGTACTGGTACTAACAACATTCAGATCGACAAAACCAAGCCTCTGTGGCACAACTATTTCCTATGTGGATTTAAAGGAATTCAGGTAAATTGGTTTATAAGGCACCTACTAACATTTGAGACTGTGATGGCGATTGTATCAAGATTTATTTACTCTATCATTTTTGTCTCTTTTAATACCAACTAATGTTTCTGTTTTGTTTTGCTAATTTAGATATTTCAGGGGATGAGGTAGATAAGACTTTTTCTGGGTGGTGGTCACAGGGACAGCTGTGGCTGTTCACAGGTCAGGTACATCTGACATGTTTCTGTTTTTGTTTTTTTAAAATTTCCCCTCCAAATTTTCTTTTGAAGGATACATTCTAGTAATATTATTCACATTTTGTTCCAGCTGCATTAATTTAATATATTAAGTCTCAGATCTGTTATCTATAAAGTGATGTCACTGCTATCTCAACAGGGTGGTTGCAAGGATTACACAATGCTTGATGTATAGTAGACATTCAATAAATGGTAACTACTATTATCAGGTGGGCTTACAAAAATGTAGTGAAATTTATTAGAATAAGTATTTTCCACCTTAGCAGATTTGGCTCAGTGGATAGAGCATTGGTCTGAGGACTGAAAGGTCCCGGGTTTGATTCTGGTCAAGGGCACATGCCCAGGTTGCACGCTTGATCCTCAATGGGGGACATGCAAGAGGCAGAGCCAATCAGTGATTCTCTTATCATTGATGTTTCTATCTTTTTCTCCTTTTCCCTTCCTCTCTGATTAAAAAAATAAAAAAATAATAAGTATTTTCCTAGAAACTTTGAATAATTACTTTGAACATCTCTAATGTCGTGTACAAGAACGAGAAAATAAAGTATTTCCTTTCTCCTAAGTAAAAAAGTGTGAAGGACAAAAAGAAAGTCGATTTGTTAAATCAATTAATTTTGTTATTAAAATCCATGTTTTAGAGAGCTTGTATTCCTTATAGCCTGGCAGTCTGATCTGAAACTTTGTCATGAATGGCCCAGCGCTCAGTGGCCTGTCTGTTACAGAGACACATTGCATTTATTTCTTATGTGTAGTCTCTAATTATAGGTTCTGGACTTGGAGTTTCTCCTTCCCTTCCTTCCTTTGTTACTTCCATCCTCCCTTCCTTCCCCCAGATTCATGGTAAAAATTTATGGGAAAAGTTATTGGAAGGTTTTAAACCTTCAAATGATTTGACTTGTCATATCTGTTACTGGGAATTACAGTATTTGGAAGCATTTACCTGGCAAATGCAATTTGATCTTCCTCATAGCAGCATGCCTTTTGTAGCATATGGGTAAGGCAACCTAAATAATGCATGTTATTTTGTGTTGCTTTTGAGAATTTCAGGTCCCAAAGCCATTCTTTTTGGTTTGATAACTTATGTGCAAAAGCAGGTTTGTGCAATGAATTTTTGACAGAAAAGTAATTTCAAGTTAGCCTGTTCAGAGACCTTCCAACTCAAATACTAGAAAGGTCCAGAGAATAATCTGTTTATATTAAATTGAACATGTTATCCTTTTGGGATAGAGCTATTACAGAATTTGGCAAAAGCCATTTGCATTTTTGAATCTAAGTTTTAATTTAAACATTGCATGATAAGTTTGTAAGTATAATTTACATTCATGAAACCCTGTGAATCAGTTTATGGTAAAATATATAGCATTCAACAAGGATTTTTTTTTTTTAAGGCATTGGCAGCAGCAGTTTATAATCTGTTTGTATTTCTGGAAAGGAAATTTTTAGATGACTTGAAATCAAGAAGAGAAGTATACATCCAACTGAATCTCTTTGTGCATGAAGATTGGCAGTTTATTTTATTTTTATTTTTATTTTTTTATTTATTAATTTTTTAAAATATATTTTATTGATTTTGTATAGAGAGGAAGGGAGAGAGATAGAGAGTTAGAAACATCAATGAGAGAGAGTCATCGACCAGCTGCCTCTTGCACACCCCCCACCGGGGATGTGCCCGCAACCAAGGTACATGCCCTTGACCGGAATCGAACCTGGGACCTTTCAGTCCGCAGACCGACGCTCTACCGCTGAGCCAAACCGGCTTCGGCGAAGTTTGGCAGTTTAGGAGAAAAAGGACAAAAAATTAAACCAGTCTTTTTTTTTTTTTTTTTTTTTTTTTTTTTTTTGTAGTGTTTTGTTGTTACTTTGGTTATTATAACAGTTTATTGAAATTTCTCCATTGAGCTAAGACCGGTTTGGCTCAGCGGTAGAGCGTCGGTCTGCGGACTGAAGGGTCCCAGGTTCGATTCCGGTCAAGGACATGTACGTTGGTTGCGGGCACATCCCCGGTAGGGGGTGTGCAAGAGGCAGCTGGTCGATGTTTCTCTCTCATCGATATTTCTAGCTCTCTATCCCTCTCCTTTCCTGTCTGTAAAAAAATCAATAAAATATTAAAAAAAAGAAAAAAAAAGAAATTTCTCCATTGAATAATATGTATGATGAAATGCATTCTTATGTAATATGATAGTATTTTATACTTTGGTTTTGAGCCTTTTGAGTAATTTGCAAACAGTGGTACTTTTCTTGATGAGGAAGTGGCTTTGAATTTATTTATTGATTTTTAAAAAAATATTTTAATTGATTTCAGAGAGGAAGGGAGAGGGAGAGAGAGATAGAAACATCAATGATGAGAGAGAATCATTGATTGGTATCTCCTGCACACCCCACACTGGGGGTCAAGCCCACAACCTGGGCATGTGCCCTGTTCATGAATTGAACTGTGACCTCCTGGTTAATAGGTTGATGCTCAACCACTGAGCAGTGCTGGCTGGGCTTGAATTTATTTTTAATCTTAAACAACAAAGGTTATATGTGTTAGCATCCTAAGTGGCATCCTACATATTCATCTAAGTAACCTAGAGCTTTCTATCTTTAGATCAGAGAAATAAGAGTTTCCCTGCTTTATTTAGAGTCTGTACTCTTATTTGTGGCTGAATTATAATTTGGCTGTCTTGAAAGCTACCATATGGCTAAATTGTAGCTATAAACTCCAGTAAAAATCTGGATTTCCTCATAGAGCTGACTTACATTAAATCATAGTGACAGTGTGGTGGCTCAGATTTCTGATTGCAATGGAGAAGTTCTCATCCAAAAATTGGAGACCTGGGTCCTACTCCTAAGCTCCCTATCCATGAGCTTGGGAAAGTCTCTTAATATTTTAGTGCCTAGGTTTTTCCATAGGAAAACAGAACTGAGAGTTTGGAGTCCTTTTTCTTCAGAGGCCCTTCTGAAGAAACACACTCCATAGAAATAAGCTACTACTTGATGTTAGAGTTTTACATCTCAGAGTGTTGGGATGTATTACATAGCGATTAAATCTGTCTTGCTAATAATTGTGCATTTCATTTCTTGCTACTTGAGAAGTTTAATTATAACTGTTCAATTATTTTCCCATGTTTGTCCAAATCAATTAATGTCCAAGAAAAAGATAATTCAAGGCAATTTTAGGAAATGGATCAGTAGCTTTTTGTTGAACAGAGTAAAAAGTAATTCTCATATTATTATACCCTTATATGAAATATCATAGATGCAACCGAATTGCACAAGTAATTTCTATAAATAGCATAATAAGTCCATTGATAGACTTTTGCTCCCTGCGGAGTAAAATAACACTTTGCTACTCCTTGAATCCAACACCAAAGTGACTAGTGCTGTCTTATCTTCTATCCTTAGGAACACTTTGGTCTTAGCGACCTGGCAGGGATGAATTGCCTGGTGGATGGGACTATCCCTCCAAGTTCTGGCCTCTCCAGCTCCAGTGCCCTGGTCTGTTGTGCTGGCTTGGTGACACTCACAGTTCTGGGAATGAACCTATCCAAGGTAACCTCACAGAAACCTCTTTTTCTAAAGGTATTTGTATCTGAATCTGAACATTAGAATGTCTTCCTTTGATCGGAAAACTTTGTCTTACTGAACAGACTATACATGCATGTATTGTAACTTAACAAGTCTTGCTTGTAATAATCCACTCTAAGGTAGTTGATACCTTCCAAGCAGTGAGTATATCTGTGAATAACTATATTGAAATTCTCTTAATCTACAGTGTGGAGTTTGAATGAATGGATATCTTTTAGATCACCTCATTAACAAGTTCAGAACAAGAAATTCTAGGCCTCGTGGTTGAACCTGCTTATTTTCACCCAAAGCTTTAAATATTTGGCAAACAGTGGGTAAAACCAGGCAATAAAGGAACTAAACAGCATATCTATCTGTTTATGCCAGAAGGTTAGTCACTGATATAAACTTAAAAAAATATTGCATTACAAAGAGGAAGTGCTTATTTAAAGGAAATATAAATCCTACTGGAGGTCAGAAATCCTTAACTTTACAAGTTCACATAAATCTCCAACTTTGCAGTTCAGAGCAGGTGTGCTTATCTTTAATTAATGCTTTGAGTTCTGGTTTCAATAAAATGTTATCATAGGTTCTTTTTATTTCATATACATACACTACCAAGTTTATAAATGGTTTGGGAACACAGATTGGGCATCAGGCAGATCAAGAGAAAAGACATCTACATGCTTAGTCTTTTTTAAGGCTATCTAAACTTCCCATTTGAAAATTTTATATACAAGAGAAAAGAGAAATGAAGGAGAAAGCAAAGCCTCCTAGCATTTTCCTTACTTGTCATATGTAATTATACATTACTTATCCCTTTGTAAGCAATGGCTTATTTGGAGGGAAGGATGATTTGCTTGTTATTGTTTGTTTGAGAGGAGAGAAAGCAAGGGAATGAAAGTCCATATATAAAAACTACCTTAATTTAACAATTATTTATTTATGGTTCCTTTGTGCTAGGTAATGTTCAAGGCACTGAAGATTTACTAGGTAGTTTTAACCCTCACCAGTGCTCATGATCTAAAAGGGGAACAGAGACAAGTACATAGACAACTATTATAGAGTGTGATAAATGGATAAGTGCTATGCTATGGCAGCAGATCTAACCCAGATTTAGAGAGCATAGGACAGCTAAACTGAAACACAAGGATTGTAGATGTTAGTCAAGAAATACCGATAGCATGAGAACACTGATAATATCAGATAGGCATGTATCAGGTGGAGGCCACATCATGGGGAAATATATAGGGTAAGAGTGATCATGGCTTATTGGAAGAACTAAAATAAACTTAACTGAAACACAGAGTAATTTGGATGACAGGGTAGAAGACTAGCTGCTTGTAAACCATGTTGAGTAATTTGGTCTTATCCTGATTGCAGTGTAAAAAAAACAACAACACATTGCAAACTTTTAGGAAGGAGAGTAATATAATCATATTTTAGAATTATCACTCTGTCTCTATTATAAAATCTAGATTTGAGGCCCACATTAATAACAGTAAGGAGATAATTTGGTTTAAGGAAGTAGCAGTGAAAATGGGGAGAATTGCCTAGTAAATTTAAGGTCCATCTCAGAAAGAATCAATAGGACTTGATTATTGATTGGGTGTGAGGACTGGGGACACAAAAAATCAAGGAGTATATTCAGGTTTCTGACTTGGTGTAAATCATGGGGATAAGTAATAGTGATGGAAAACTAGGTAGAGGAAAATAGAAATGTTGAGTATGAGGAATCTGTGGACATACTACTGATGGAGTTATTTAAAATTTAGTTACAAACAATATCTCTGAAGGGAGATCTGGACTTGAGGTGGTCCACTTGAAAGTCATTAGTATGTAATTTTGAAGCCATAGGAGAAGAGGAGAATATACAGGGAACAGTGCAGGTAGAAAGATAAGGAAGAGTATGACAGATTCTGACAGGCACACACATTTGAGGGATGGCAGAAGAAGAGATGTCCACTGAAGAGAGTGAGTAGTCATCAGACGGATGGGAGGAACACCAGAAAGCAAGGCAACAGCAAAGACAAGGAAGAGAATATTTTGTGGAAGGAGTGGCAGTGGTGTTAGATGCTGCTGAGAGGTTGGGACAAAGATAAGAAGTAGCCATTAGATTTAGCATGAAAGAAGTTAAATAAAACTTTGGAAAAAGCAGTTTAAATTAGGAAGGGGTTGAAGAGTCTATGAGAGGTAAAAAAGTCTGGCTATGCCTGGAAAAAGAGATAATCTGGTGTCTGTGATGCCTTGAGGTAAAGGAATTGATTTATTTTTTAATGGAAGGATTGATGAAACTTTTTTTGGCATTTTTTTCTGACCCTTCAAGGGTGTGAATATCTAAGGCAGTGGTTCTCAACCTTCTTAATGCCTCGGACCTTAATACAATTCCTCATGTTGTGGTGACCCCCAACCATAAAATTATTTTTGTTGCTACTATTATGAATCATAATGTAAATATATGTGTTTTCCAATGGTCTTAGTAGCAAAATTATAGTTATTAATTTTATGAAAATAATTATGAAAATAATTTTATGGTTGGGGGTCATCACAACATGAGGAACTGTATTAAAAAGTTGAGGCATTAGAAAGGTTGAGAACCACTGATCTAAGTGAAAAGAAGATAAAGAAAACTTGAACTTTTGGAATTAAATTTGGATGTCCCTGTGCTTTCAAAGTAAAAAATAGCAACTATTTTGCCATTAAAACAGACACATAGATCAATGGAATGCAATAGAGAGTCCAAAAATAAACCCACATGTATGTGATTAATTAATTTATGATAAAGAAGCCAAAAATATACAATGAAGAAAGGACAGTTTCTCCAATAAATGATGTTGGGAAAAATGGACAGCCACATGCCAAAGAACAAAACAGAACCCTATCTTACACCATACTTAAAAAAGAACTCAAAATGAATTAATTATTTGTAAGACCTGAAACCATAAAAGTCCTAGAAAAAAACATTGGTGGTAAGTTCCTTGACATGGTCTTGGTGATGATTTTTTAAAATTTGACATCAAAAGCAACAGCAACAAAAACAAAATAAACAAATGGGGTTATATCAAATTAAAAAAACTTCTGTACAGCAAAGGAGAAAAAAACCAAACAATCCAATTAAGAAGATGGGCAGAGTATTTGAATATTTTTCCAAAGGAGACATAGAATTGGTTAATAGACACATGAAAAGATGCTCAACATTACTTATCATGTGAAAAATGCAAATCAAAACCACAATGATGCATTACCTCAGATTTGTTAAATGTTTATTATCAAAATGATAAGAAATAATAAGTGTTGGCAAGGATGTGGAGAAAAGGGAACCATTGTGCACTGTTGGTGGGAATGTAAATTGGTGCAGGCACTATGGAAAAGAGTATGCCCTATACAATTGAAGACAGTAATTACTGCAACAAAAAGATATCCCTACTTATCATATCCCATGTGGAACTTGTTAATTCATTAATACACTAAATGTCATATGTCTGAAACCAGTCTAATGATATCTAAGTCACCCAGAAAATCTGGAAGACAGAAACTATGAGTCAGAATGGAACTGAGGAAAGAGTATGGTGTGATAAAAAACTTATGAAATAGAAAAGGCTAGAGGTTTCAAGATGACAGAATGAAGACATATCTACTCTTTTTTCCCCCCATCACTCATTCATTCTTCTTTTCTCAACCATCCCGAAACAGCAGGGAACCAGGAAAAGAAGGCATAAGTTCCATCTTTGATACAATCAAAGAGACATAAATAACCCTAAACCACAAGATACAAAGATGGAAACTAGGTAAATGATGGTGCATGATTTAGCAGACTAGAGAAAGGTCAGAGCCAAGTGCTGTGAAGGGAGGGCTTGCTCACAGCCCTCTGGAAAAGCTTACGAATTAGAGGCACCAGTACCAGAAAAGGCAGGTGGGATTTTATTTGAAAGTCTTTCTGAGGATCCATCAGACTTTCAGAGCCCACTGGTAAATAAGGAGACCATTTCCTTCCATCTTTACAGGAGTCTCTGGAGAAATAACATGGGGGCTCTAAGTATAAAGAAAAGCTGGAGGAGAGCAGAATTGAAAATCAGGGGATTAAAGGATGTTCTGCATCTCAACAGTGACATTCCCAACTCCCTTCCTTTGGTCAGCTCTGGCACACTGGCAGCCTTGCCAACTCCACTGGGAATACTGGACAATCCTTATGAGAGGAAACTAGCCATCTTGGAGACAAAATGACATTTGGTGACCTCCTCCCACAAAAATTCTCTCGCTACTCTAAGACCCTGTTCGAAGCCCATTTACAAAGTTTCTAATCAGCTTTTTAGTGACTCACTATTAAATGTGATAGAACAGTAAGAGATAATTAGACTTTGGAAGAAAGCCTCCAACATGAAGCAAACAAATAGAGAAGAAAGGATTCAGAGAAAACAAGGACAATGCTGAAAGCAGAAAAATGCTTCAAAGAAGCCTCGATGTCCTCAGAGATAAAAGAGAATGCTCTAGAAAGAATAGAATGTTATTTTAAAAAGATGAACAAACAATAAGGAAGCACTTTTGGGCATTAAAAATATGATCGCTAAAACAAAATGTTCTGTAAAAGGATTGCAAGAACTCTCTGCTGGAATAGGAAATAAAAAGACTGGACAATAAGAGAGAGAAAGATAGGAAAATATATAAACCAATTCCAGAAATTTGATATCTGACTAGTAAGGTGAAATAGAGAAAACTGTCACTAGAAAATTATTAAAAATTTTTTCCCCCTCCAAAATCAACAAATGTCAAGTGCTGGCGAGGATGCGGATGTGCACTGCTGGTGGGAATGCAGAGTGGTGCAGCCACTGTGGAAAACAGTATGGAGATTCCTCAAAAAGTTAAAAATAGAACTGCCATTTGACCCAGTGATCCCACTTCTAGGGGATATCCCAAGAAACCGGAGACATCAACCAGAAAGGATATATGCACCCCTATGTTCATAGCAACATAATTTACAACAGCTA